ACAAACAACTCAGTTCTCCCTTGAATAGGCCCATATATATATATATATATATATATATATATATATATATATATAAAATAGTTTTGCATCCGTTACAATGTAGCTAGTTTTATCTAAATAAAAAATAATTAATTATTTATAAAATGTTTTACCCTTTAAATTATAGCATTATTTATATATAGAGTTAGAAAATAATTTTATCAAAAGTAGATATATGAGGAATAAGAAGATAAAACTTGTTGAGGATATCATCAAGAAAAGACAAAGTGATGAAGCTCTCGATGGTTTCCATTTCACTTGTCCTCTAAACACGTGAGTGATAAGATCTGAGAAGATGGTTAACTTCTTTGAAAAAGAGTGTCATCCTATTTTTTTAATGGATAAAGATTATCTTTTAAAAAACGAGGAGGTCAGGATAAAAACCCATTGTTATTGATTGTAGAAGTTTTTTCAGATTTTGTTTATGAGACTAAACACACTGTTCTGATAACATCTTTTGGTCATGACAAGTGATGACTTACATAGAAAGTGTTTGTAGAAGGGAGGGTGAATGCAAACACAACAATTTATCACTTTTTAGTTCTATATTTTGTATAGAACAAAGAATCACATATTTGTTGTTGTAGATAGGAAGGTAAGGCATGTGATCCTAAACAATCTGAATGGTGACAAATTTGCTAACACTGAAAGAAGGAACGAAGAGGGTACTCTTTCAGATTCGAAGGACTAAGATAGTTATTCAGACGTGGACGACGATTTTGCCTAAAAAACTGTTACAAATAAGTTCTGTCAAAACGGGTGAGTAGCATTGAATGACAAGGGTGACCTTTTATATCTACCGTGCATTAAATGTTAATGTCCAACTTTAACATATTTCTTCATCTGATTTGCTGATCCATTCATGTTTGTACTATTCATTTTAAGCCTTTGTGGTTGATGTAGACACTTGCTAGCATATCCCATCCCATCTGTATGCCAAGGAGAACAGTAAAGAAAGTATGATACTAATAAAATAGTCTCTTGGAACTTACTTTGGCTGGCATTTTGTGCATGTTCTCATACAAGGATGGGTGTTGGAGAGTTGGTGAGTCAAACTTGTTGGACAAGTTTGTATTTCAAAATCCAATTTACCAGTAGTGGTATTTGTCAGACTATTATTTGACTTTATCTTGTACTGATATTCTTTTGGCTTGATAACAAACCACTCCGCTTTTCATGATGATCTTGACCTCTCTTCAACTAGTCTTTGATTTGTTGAAGGCAATTCATTCTTGAATCAATACAGATAGTTATGAGACTTTACATGTAAAAATCATATCTTTTTATATTCTGAAATTCAAGTTTTATATCGGATTTACAACTATAGAAATATTATGAAAATAAAGACTTGGTATAAATTATGGACATTTGATACTTAAGCTTCGAGAGACCAATAAGAAAGTCACTCAGATTTTCTTGATTGAATGGAAACTTCCTAAAGACAGAAGAATTGATTTCACAATCTATACCAACGGATCCGATGATTCTATTACATATGAAACCTTATGCTTAAGGTTTGGATGTTATTCTTCTGGAACTACATCCTATGGATGAGGCTTATTGAATATATTCCTTGTAAGGTGGCAATCGATAATTTCTTTTATAAGTGTTTAATCGGATATTATGTGTATTATTTGCAAATCTAATGGTTGAAACCAATAGTGTACATTCATGATCTGAGGTGCAGTTCGATAACGTTAATGCGTGACTTACTTTTGTGTTCAACCCCATTCAATGAAAACAAGTCTCCCCCATTACCGAAATGTTTTTAGATATAGATTTTATCCATGTTTTAGACGACATTTTGAATAAGTAGTGTTATCCATGATTTCTGGTTTTAGAGTATTGAGCATTATCCATATTTTGGGTTGT